TGAATACGCAGATATTTTGTACCATTATTCAATTATCTGATTTGGGTTTAGTAGCAATTTAACGACTTACAATACTGATTCTATCCCGTTTTCTCATCGTTGGTCGCGGAATCGTAAAACCGGTCATATCGAGCCTCGTAAAAGCCATCAAGCTCGGTGCTCTAAAAGGGGGGCAATTACAGACGCCCCGTAAATGAAAGTAAAAGGGACAGAATTACTTGGAAAAAATTCTCCTCCGTTTTCATCTTTGCTCGTTGAGTTTCTCTGTGCTGGGAAATTGTAAAAATTCAATAAGAGTCCTTAGAACCTTTAATATTATAATAACGCCGAGCTTTATGCAGACTTTGAGTGGATTAACAAGGTACACAGTATGTCGGAAAAATAACGGAACTTTTTAAATAAAAAGAAAAGAATTAGTTATTTTGCAAAAAATTCACGAACAGCGACAGTTCTGTGACATGGTGCGTTATCATGCAACTGAAACTAACTTCCCGGAGAATTACGACGCGTGGAATTAATAACGCGTGGAACTATGACGCGTGGAATTACAACGCGTGGAACTACGAGGCGTGAGATTACGACGCGTAGAATTATAACACGTGAAATTCCGACGCATAGAATTATGGTGCGTGGAATTAATAACACGTGGAATTACGACGCTTAGAATTATTAACGCGTGGAATTACAACACGTGAAATTACGACGCGTAGAATTACGGTGCGTGCGATTACAACGCATGGAACTACGACGCGTGGAATTATGACGCGTGGAAATATGGTGCGTGGAATTACAACGCGTGGAATTAATAACACGTGGAATTACAACGCTTGGAATTAATAACGCGTGGAATTACGACGCGTAGAATTAATAACGCGTGGAATTACGACGCGTAGAATTAGGGTGCGTGAAATTACGACGCGTGGAATTACAACACGTGGAATTACGACGCGTAGAAATATGATGCGTGGAATTACAACGCGTGGAATTAATAACACGTGTAATTACAACGCTTGGAATTAATAACGCGTGGAATTACAACGCTTTAAATTACGACGCGTAGAATTAGGGTGCGTGGAATTACAACGTATGGAATTGCGACGCGTGGAATTACAATACGTGGAATTTCGACGCATAGAATTATGGTGCGTAGAATTACAACGCATGGAATTAATAACGCGTGGAACTACGACGCGCGGAGTTACAACGCGTTGGACTACGACGCGTGGAATTACAACGCATGGAATTACGACGCGTGGAATTGCAACGCGGATCGTGGAATTACGATATTCGGGCCTAACACGAACGATCCTCTTCCACAAACGTTCCATAACACCCAGTTAATATTCGCCATTAACATTTTGTCCCTGTGGAACGAATTCCCGAAGTATAATTCCTTTAAAATCGTAAAAGCAAATTAACATTGTCTTCTCTCGGGACTTCTGGAATCGCAATTTTTTTGATTTTGGAGAGCCTAAAGATTTCCACGTAGCACTTTGGCGCTTTGAGGTTCATACTTGAAGCACCAAGTCTCATCACTAGTTACAATTGATACCAGGAATGTACAGTTTCGTCTGGCTGTTTTGATAAGATCTCGCAATATTCAACGCGAGCAATTTGTTACGCTTGCCCGCCATTTTGTGACACGGTAACGGAAGGTTCTGTCGCATTAAACGCTATAAGTTTACAATTCGTTGCTTGATTCCAATAATGATTGTTCTGTAGGGGAGATATACTGTTTTCAGATAAAATATTATTTTAATAGATGGTGCTAGTTTTCATTAAATTTAAAAAGTTCCGTTACTTTTCATACCGTGTTACTTTTCATACTTTTCATACGTAGTAATTACACCAATTATTTGCGAAAAATTTCGTTTAAAATATGAGAGAAATTCAACGTAGGTTTATTTGCTCGAATGTTTTGAAAATGTCGCCTCGATCCCAATAACGATTGTTTTGTACGGGAGGTATACTGTTTTCAGATAACATTGTTTTAATATATGGCGCGTTTTCCTTAAATTTAAAAAGTTGAGATTTAATGAGCAACAAATTTCCTATGTATTGCAAAAGTTGCTGGCGCAAATGACTCCAATTCATTCGGATCATCGATAAACTGTCTGTGAGTCCAACAGGTCTGCCAACTGCACGACGGGAGGCACACTTTTCCGTGCTCGATCGCTAGCTGCCGATGACAGCGATTACACGCGGAATAACAATGCTCGCGGATAGTTCTGGCTCCGTTCGACGTAACGTAATCAGCAAAGTACACCCGGGGTGCTTTATTCGACATGATGCGATCGATCGTTTTACGAACGGACGGTAAATCCGGCCGGCGGATTATCGTCGAGCATGTCGTTGCGACATATGTACGTGCGTGCAATATTTAAGCCTCGTTAAACCCGTAATTTCAAATCGGCCATGGGGTCCGCGTCATATGTTATTGATAATCGAGCCGTTCCTGCTACAGCATCGGTTGAATAATGCGCGGATTACGCGGTCTAAACCGAAGCAAACGTCGAATAATTAACAAGACTGGCAAGGCGCGCTTTGAAAAGCCGCCGCGAACGCCGAGGCTCCTCGCAACGCCGCGAGCGTTACGCTTCGGCCTCATTAACTATACAACTTCCAGTCTCTTTGACGCGGCGCGAAGAGATTGATGAGGCGAGCTCCCAACGATTAGAGACTGTGATTAAGAAAGTCACGTATAAGGTGTGTTTGTGTCGGTGCCTGCGGTACTCTCTGTTTTAGTCTGGTTAGCAGGTGCTGTTACATTTTTACCAACATTGCTTTTGTTATTTATTTGCTCTGAGACCTATGATTCTGTAGATACTAGAATTTTGCCACGGCAATTTCTCTCTGGGGTCACTTGGAATTTCTGGAGATTCATCCTGGGTTGAGCTTCCAAGCCCTCCCTGAGCTCTCATTAGTCCTCCCTACAGGCTCATCCTAAAATCTCCCTAGAATTGTCCTAAGCTCCCTGTAAATTCTTCTGGTTCTCCTAGAAGGAACTTGTAGCAGAATTTATAGTACTTTTGTAACTGTTTAGTCGAATTAGCAAAAGTCTCGCAGGCTCTTCTTGAGGTCTCAGCCCTCGCTATGGACTTTACCTAAATTTTCCCTAGGACTTCACTAATCTGGAACTAAATTCTCTTGGAATCTCTCCTAAGAGAGACTATAGAACATCCATAACTACTTAGTCAAATTAAAACTCTTGCAAACTCTCCATGAACTCATCTTCCCTATAGGCTCTTTAAAAAATCTCCCTAGGACATCACTAATCTGGCACTAAATTCTCTTGGAATCTCGCCTAAGAGAGACTATAAAACATCCACAACTATTTAGTCAAATTAAAACTCTTGCAAACTCTCCATGAGCTCATCTTCCCTATAGGTTCTTTAAAAAACCTCCCTGAAAACTTCTCAATCTATCTCTAAAATCTATCAACTTATCCCTAAAACTTCCTCCCTAGATCTCAAACTGCCTCTAAATTTACTCAGAATCCTCTCCAATAGATTATGGAACATTTGCAACAGTTTAGTTTAATTAGCAAAATATAAAGTATTCATATTTTGTACGAAATATGAATCGTTATTTGTTTCCCAGTGAAATTAACAAATTCCGTTTAAAGGTAAAACGGAAAATTAAAAACTGATATTGTCATCCATAGAGAGAAGGAATTTCAATATAACGAAATTTTTAATTTGTCTGAAATTATTCTCCGAATGATTTTATCTGACGGTTAAAAGTTGCTAAAACGTGTTCCGTAATTAGCGCGACAGTGTTTTCATCGGAATCAATTATTAATTCACAATGTTCTTTTGCTTAATTAATTTTTATTAATTAGTATTTTAAATGTAAGGGAGTTTCACTCGCGCCGTTTTCATCCCGAGTTTCGTAAACTCGGCTTTGAGGAATAGCGAGCGTAAGAAATTATTATTTTCCGTCGACAAAGAGCCAGACAGTTCTGAAACGTCATTGCGAGTTCTGTACGCACCGCCATTTTGTTCATCGCGAATTCACGGCGGATCACGCGATCATGTAAACAGACACCGTTCGTTGGTCCGTTGTTTCGCGAACGAGGAATTTTGTTACAACTTCTGGCGGACACGTTCCACGCTTCAAATTTTATTAGTTGCAATTAAAACAGTCGACTATAAAAGTGATCTAACGAGCGGGCTTCAACAATTAATCGGTCTTTAATGCATCCATAGGGAAATCTGACATTTTTGAAATTAGATCTATTTAATTTTAACGATTATCGACAAATTTTATTTACTGTTCGTTGCTGTTTAATATTTAGTTTTTATTCCCTGATCCACTGGGACTTGATCATTAAATTAATTCACTTTTCTGCTTATTTATTTGCTACAATATATCAAAATCAATATCTCTCAGCAATTAGCCAGTAATTATTAATTGCTTAATTTTAAACGAGATGATAAAAGTATCATTAATAATTATAAATATGAAATTTAACTTCGTGATGTTTGTCGAGTCATGAATATTAATTATCACGACAAACGTTAATATTTATGAGGAATGCGTTATCTGCGTACTTAATTTTTTATCGAGGCTCATATTTCGAGATGAATAACCCACTTTTGTAGCTGCAGTTTTATTCGATAAAGAGCTGTATTCACTGAATCACAGGCCTTGTCCCCACCATTCGGTCGTAAACAATATTCTCGTGCACTGGCATTCGCAAAGTCAGTCATTAGCTAACTTCGGTACGTTGTGTTCTAACTTTTATTTAAGTTCTTCACGTTTGCTTAAAATAATATAGTTGAGAAAATCTAGAAGTGTCAGTTGACATGTGTATAACATTACATATTTATTAATTTACATCAAAAATAGGAACAATTTTGAGACATTATAAACTTGAAAAAATATTGTGAATGTATTGCTGCCAACCCATGAGTTGGCGCATGAGATCGGCTTACGTCAAGCTATCAAATGACCTATAATTCAATATGTTTGTACTAACACTGTTTTCATCTTTTCAGGAACAACCAATGAGCGATATCACCGCAGACAAAAATATTTTCGCCTGGACGACAAACTAACCAGCAGGCAAAAACGTGAGTGTAATTCGCCGCGGCGATATGCCGCGCATTTCCCCCGCGAAATTAACAAATTACATTTTCCCACGGAATCCGAATTCTGTTAATAACACGTCCTAACCTACGGAACAATAGCTCGCCTCGTTTTATTTTTTGTTGCAGAATCTTTTACCCTATTTTCAGCGAACCGTGAAATTTTGAAATAGAAAAAAAAAAGCGTCGCGTAATTGCTTCCTCTGTCGTTCACTGGTTGCGAGATTGTAAAACGCGCACCACATAACCGTTCTACTTTTTGCAAGTTACAACTAGTATCAAAGAAAAAACGCAAAAAAAGGATGGGGTCGATGAACATTTTACGGATGCTTTGAACGATAACAACGTTGTAATCCATCTGAGTCATTGAGCTGAAAACAAGTTGTTATTTGAATAACATATTGTTTACGGTTCTTTAAGATTATGCGAGCATGTAGTGTTAATAATGACCTTGTAATTGTTTCATGCTTTTGAATCGACCTGTATGATAAGCTTCAAACAATACTATTACAATTCTTCAAGATTATGCATTCATACGTAGAGCCATAGTGTGATAAACACTCTTGTAATTGTCAGGTCCATGCTTTTGAATTGACCTGTATAATCACAAGCTTTAAATAATGCAATTACAATCCTTTAAGATTATGTATGGATATATAAAACTGTAGTGTGATGATAAACACTCTTGTAATTGTCAAGTGTATGCTTTTGAATTGGCCTGTATAATCACAAGCTTTAAACAATGCAGTTACAATCCTTTAAGATTATGTATGCATATATAAAACTGTAGTGTGATGATAAACACTCTTGTAATTGTCAGGTCCATGCTTTTGAATCGACCTGTATAATCACAAGCTTTAAACAATGCAATTATAATCCTTTAAGATTATGTATGCATACATAAAACTGTAGTGTGATGATAAACACTCTTGTAATTATCAAGTCCATGCTTTTGAATCGACCTGTATAATCACAAGCTTTAAACAATGCAGTTACAATCCTTTAAGATTATGTATGCATATATAAAACTGTAGTGTGATGATAAACACTCTTGTAATTGTCAAGTCCATGCTTTTGAATCGACCTGTATAATCACAACCTTTAAACAATGCAATTATAATCCTTCAAGGTTATGTATGCATATATAAAACTGTAGTGTGAGGATAAACACTCTTGTAATTGTCAAGTCCATGCTTTTGAATCGACCTGTATAATCACAACCTTTAAACTATGCAATTAAAAAGAGTCAATCGTTGGGTCAATACTTGTCGAATCATTTCTTTATACTGTACGTTAAAACAAAATTATAAATCTGAAACCTAGAACTGCATAAGGGAGAAATCATATTTGAAACACTCTGTACGTAGTCACTGCAAGGTTACTGATCTAAAAATGCAAAATCCCTACCACATGAGTATGTTATCCATCGCATACTTAACAAGCTTAATAACATTAACAAACTGTGCCTCTGAATAATGTTATGAAGCCCCATTTTTGAAACACCCTGTAAATAATTTCAAGATAGAATTCTTCCTCATTTCCCCAATAGCACCCCAGAACTATACTACAGTCGGATGCGACAATCTCATCGAAAGACTTTTGCAACACCCAGTACACAGAATCGGAGATTGCAAGTTTAAAAAGCTCGGTGGCTCATGTCGCAAATGTATTCTATGTCGCGATTTCGTTTGGCTGTGTCTACAAAGTCGCGGCGACATCATGGAACGTAAATTCTGTCGTGCGATTATCTACATAATGGCCGAGCGTCGCGAGCGTACAGAAAATTTATCGTCTGACTTCCCGATGAAAATTCATATCTTTTCACCCCTGAAATTTCCCTGGCCGAACTGTTTCTGTGCTAGAACTAGACGCCTTTTGATCCTTTTATACTTGTCTATCTTTCTACTATTATCATGTTCCTTTATCCTCCAACTTTTAAATCTTATCTCAGATTTTGTGGTATTCTCAAATAGAATTTCTAGCTTTTCTGCAATTTTAGTGTGCTCTTGATGGAATTTTATGGAGATCAGTATTTTGGGATGATATATTAGGTAACTTTGAATCTGATGGCAAGTACATAACGTAACTTGCGATGAGGCTTAACGTAACTTGCGATCCTCGTATCCTTGAACTGTCAAATCTTATCTCAGATTTTGTGTTACTCTCAGTATGTTACTCTCATGATCAGTATGTTGGGATAATATATTAGGTAACTTTGAATTTGATGGCAAGTGGATAATGTAACTTGAGACGAGGCTTAATGTAACTTGAGGCGAGGCATAAGGTAACTTGAGACGAGGCTTAACGTAACTTGAGACGAGACATAAGGTAACTTGAGACGAGGCATAAGGTAACTTGAGACGAGGCTTAACGTAACTTGAGAAGAGGCGTAATGTAACTTGAGACGAGGCTTAACGTAACTTGAGACGAGACATAAGGTAACTTGAGACGAGGCATAAGGTAACTTGGGACGAGACTTAATGTAACTTGAGGCGAGGCTTAATGTAATTTGAGAAGAGGCTTAACGTAACTTGACACGAGGCATAAGGTAACTTGAGACAAGGCTTAACGTAACTTGAGAAGAGGCGTAATGTAACTTGAGACGAGGCTTAACGTAACTTGAGACGAGACATAAGGTAACTTGAGACGAGGCATAAGGTAACTTGGGACGAGACTTAATGTAACTTGAGGCGAGGCTTAATGTAATTTGAGAAGAGGCTTAACGTAACTTGAGACGAGGCATAAGGTAACTTGAGGCGAGGCTTAATGTAACTTGAGACGAGGTTAACGTAATTTGAGACGAGGTTAGCGTAACTTGAGACGAGGCTTAACGTAACTTGAGACGAGGCATAAGGTAACTTGAGACGGTCCTAACATAACTTGAGACGGTCCTAACGTAACTTGAGACGGTACATAACCTACCTTGAAACCGTACATGTCTCATCTTGAATATCTGAGACAACCTGCCACACATATGTAGACCACACAGTAACAGTTATTCGACATTTTCAAAATAATTAACATTGACGATGTGAATGAAAAAGTATTTGTATCTTTCATCTGTAAATAAACATTAATCAAAGAGTAGATATAACAAGAGGCGACATATGTGTATGAAAAGTAATATCACACACATATGCGTATGAAATTATGAGAAATTGACATTGCTCGATATGACATCAACTTTGAAACACCGTGTACAGTAAGAGTCTTTCTAAGGACACCCAGTGTGCAACACACATGTACACGGTTTCGCACGTATGCACACAGGAAGCCCGAAGGAAATGTCTGGCAGACGCCGGGAAACGTGATATCCGAAGTCACTCACGAATTCATAGGATCCCTTTTCTTCTTTGTTTTCCTCCGCGCGGCCGTGTAACTCGCACGCGACCACGCGTACCGATTCGGTAATGTTCCCGAGGATTTCCCGGCAATCTCAGCCCGCTTTCCTCCAAATCTCCCGGCAATGAGCCGCGTGATGTTTTTCTACCTCCCTCCTACACACACAAGCGCACACACTTGTACAAACGTCTCGCTCGATGGTGACGGTCAGGAACTGAATTTCAGATGCTGCCAGCAGAGAGCGTGCAAACCTAACCTAACCGTACAGGTTTACCCCTGTTGGAAACAAAGAGCTTCGGATTCTATTTTGAAGCGTTAAATTATTTACAAGAATTTTTTGGAATAATGAGAAAGCTTCGCCCAATTTGTTAAACTGTTAGCACAAAAAAACAGTGAAACTCTAATCAGGACGAAAATTACGGTTGACTCTCGTTAACAGACAATTCAAGCGCCCAATGAAATTTTACCCTTGCTCGCATTGTATTTCAGATTCAATTTTCAGACTCCCATTAATTTCCCGCGGTACTTCAAAGGTTTGCCAAGATTAATTTTCCTCCTCGTCGAATCGAAAACATTTGTTTTGTGACAGAAGTCGCTCTCGCGTTCATCCAATTACGAAAAATTTGCTGGTTTTGCTTCAGCGTTCGATAATTACAATTTAAATTTATTCAAATTTTCTGCTATTTCAACGCCATTCGTTCAGCATTTCGGGAATTTCGGTGAAAAAAAAAAATTGTTTATACTGAATGAATTTTGGTCCGGGCGTTTCCTGCAGCCCTTCTGGCAGTTTTCTCAGTTAGGGGTCCCGCCCTTCTCAATCAGACCGAAAAGACACCCAATTCACGTGCTTGCGTGCTCACACACACGGTCCACATAAATTCCTGTGTAAGCGTCGCATTTTCATCCGGTCCGGTCGGGGGTCTAACCGGAAACGAAGAAATTGAGAGGAAGCTCCGACCCAACTGTATACCGTCACAGGATTTGGGTCAACAATGTGGAAGCTCGTGGAAATCGCTTCGGGGAATAGAGAGTCGTAACCGATCGAAAGTATTCTACTCGATTTGGCCACGATCTCTGGATCTAAGCGTGGTAATGCAGCCACCTGCTTTACCGACGGCCTCGTGTAACAGGATAATCGTAACTGGTGACCCAGTTCCTGGACAAGGCGTGTTTCACGATGTCCCGGACGTCGATCTACGATCCGACGTTGTATCGTTAACGACACGCCGCTTCGATTGAAATTACGTGGAAGGGTTTCGTCGTGTTCCAATTGGTCGGATAAGTAGCGCTATCTGGGACAATGGCGATGGATTGTTAAAGTAGCGGAACTAGAAGTGCGCGATGTGGTAACGCTCTCGTGCAAACTAGACGTAATAGTAACTCTTGAACATTAGAGTGACTGATGAGGTCCCAGTGTCCCTAGAACAGTCGCGAGTTGCCACTAGTTTGCAGGAGTGTCTCATTAATATCATCTTTCGGAAAATTACTGTTGTGAAGTCTGCACTAGGTTAGTTAGGACTCTTCTGAACTCTATCATCACTGTGATCTCTGTTATTCTGGGATCCTCCAGATTTTCGGCGTCTCGAGAGACTTTTGGTTCTCAAGGTCTTTTGGATAACTGGGGTACCTAAGGTTCCTAGGAT